ACACACACACACACACTGACTGACTGACTGACTGTCACATCCTGTTCTTTAAATGTTTGCTTTGGTCTAATTTGGTCATATCTGATTGACTGATTATTTAAACGTGTGTCATGGTGTTCTTCCTTTTCTGAGCCGGGTCATGACATCATCAGTGTACTCACTTTAGGAAACTAGAGAAATCTTCAGAGACGGCGTCGCAGCCGGGCCAGCGGCAGAGGCCGCTCACAAACAGAGCGCTCGTCCCGTCGTTGATGCTGAAGGAAACAGAAGTGACAGCGTGGACCACTGATGTTATTGGATCACTTTTAAAGGGACCTCAGCGCTGGCTGACGTCACATCACGGATCTGGATGATGCTGATGTGCTTCACAAAGCGTCTCAACCCGAACCTCGACCCAGTCGTCATGTATTTTGTACATTTCCAGCCCATCGCCCATAAACACAGACACGGCATCAAAACCACATCAGGCTTAGCGGCACGAGTCCAAATAAGCCTGATCCGAGACCTAGGCTCACAGAACAGTCCTGATCCGATTAGTTTTGGTGCCTAAACCTGACCAAACTTAATTCTAAGACTAGTGGGCCCAAACAGCCCCCATCTCCTCCTAAAGTAAACCACGTCATCAGGAATCAGCTGAGTCGCTCAGGAACACAATTCATGAGAGGGACGATTATCAAGCAGCTGGACCTGGAGCGGGCCGATGAAGAGGCGGACAGGGCCAGTAAAAAACTTTCTGGACTAACTGATGGTACACCAGCCCACTGATGCAAAGGCCTGCCAGGATCTGATGCCCAGCAGAACACTGCTCGGACGGCAGAACCACCTCAGTCCTACGGTTACAATACAGCCGGGAGGGAAACTCACAGGACCGATCCACTAGAACCTGAGCTCATTCAACCTAATCATTTAACTTCAGGTCTGTCTCTAAGTGTAGCCCTGTGATAGACTGGTTACCTGTCCAGGTGAACCTGCCTTCACCCTAAGTCAGCTGGGATAGGCTCCGCCCCCCATGACCCTGGTGAGGATTAAGCGGTGTATAGATAATGGATGGATGGATTTAACTTCAGCATGCAGACACACGTCAGTGCTTCATCGCAGCATATTTTTAGCTAAATCATGAATCAGACATCTTATTTATTCACATAGTTTTAGATTTAGTAATGTGCATAATTTCTAATCCAGTGTAAATATGAGACAGTCACCCATCATGAATCCTGGCCTCGATGAAGTTCTGCCTGGGGCCATCTGTCCTTGAGGGGAGGAACTGATGGGCTGCTCTGGGAGAGGAGTCCATGTGTGGTGAAGACGACGAGGGAAGATGGCTTGCATCCACCTCTTCCTTGCAAATAGAGATGGCTGCACTGCTCTCTGGATGGCCTAGAGGAAGAAAGCATTGCTGTAGGCTTTGGATCTGTTCAGATTCAGATTGGTGTTTTCATCATTGCAGCCTTTCAGTGCAAAAACAAAACATAAAAACTCTGTAAACAACTATTTACAATATAGAAGAAGGATATATATAAAAAGCTCTATATAAAAAGATGAAATAAATAAAAAGCATGAGCACAGAGTGGATCTTGTGTAGACGTAGTGGCTGTGGTATATTTACAGTATATTGTGCTTATTGCGACAGAGAGGCGTTTACGGCTCCGACAGCAGCTGGAAAAAAGCTGTTTTTCAATCTATCCATCACAACAACATGAAACAAAACGCTGCTGATGGTTTGCTACCAACAGCTAAAATATCTGAACTACTGTGGCTCTAAACGCCACCGTTTGTGCTCAACAAAATCCAGAATTAAGCAGATCTGAAACCAGTGACAATCTGTTTACCGTGTTGTCGTCTGAATATTGTTTGGGAAACTTGACGCAGAACCGATGGTCTCTGCTGCTTCAGCCTCATGCCGTCCATACTTCCCCACCGCTGGAAGGAAAAAACACCAGAGTCAGCTACAGCATGTACACAGTGTGATGAAGAACAGGTCCATGGAATCAGCAGGCTGGTTGTGCATGTCTATCCTTCGCTATCCTTTGTCTCACCTGTGTTTATCTGGGAGTTGGTTTACCTCTCATAACTACACATCTGCTGTAAAGCATTTCTAATTAAATCCAAACTTCACCTGTAAATCAGGAAATGCTTGTCCTGGACGTGTCACAATTTGCATCATCATCATCACTAAATGTTTCGCTCTGAAAAAAGATTCCTAAAGGATAGAACAGAGCTCCAAGACCACCAGAGCCAGCGGTCCTACTGGAGGATGTGAAGCTCAGAGAGGACGTGATGAGTCCACCTGTTAGCATCAGAGGAAACAGTCCAGTCATCACAACCAGTCAGCTGTGATTCAGAAATACTGTGTAGCTTAGATTTACAACAGTCACATGGTCAATGGTAAATGGTACTTTATAGCGCTTTTATCCTTTACAGTGTGTTTCTCATTCACCCATTCATACACCAACGCTGTCAGCTTGATTTTCTTGCTTTCCAACAGTTTTTTTCTGTTTAACCAGCCACTCACATATTAGACGCATCACCTGGTCCCCAAGAAAATGGAGGATAAGTTTTAAACATGTTGTGCAAGGGTTGTATTTAATACAATACCCTCACCCTAATACAAAAATGTGAGATCCAAATGGAAGACAATCCCGTCTCCTTTGTGAAAGTCAGAATCCTAATGTGGACTTGTGGTTCTTTGAAGGTGGAAATGTTTCCTACTGCACTGTTGGCAACTGTGATCCCAGGCCGGTCCAACTGGTCATTCTAACCTCGTATGATATACATTCACCAGACATCTTAAACTAGATCATCTTAGAAGCAGGCCTGCAGGTGGAGCAGTGGTTAGCACCGTGGCCTCACAGCTAGAAGGTCGCCGGTTCATGTCCCGGAGAGGACACCCGGGATCTTCCTGCGTGGAGTCTCCATGTTCTCTCCGGGTTCTCCGGCTTCCTCCCACAGTCCAGAAACATGCTGAGGTTAATTGGTGATTGTAAATTGTCCGTAGGTGTGAATGTGAGTGTGCTTGGTTGTCTGTCTCTAAGTGTAGCCCTGTGATAGACTGGTTACCTGTCCAGGTGAACCTGCCTTCACCCTGAGTCAGCTGGGATAGGCTCCGCCCCCCATGACCTTGGTGAGGATGAAGGTGTAGAGATGATGGATGGATCTTAGAAGCAAATATTTAACAACAGTCACTGGGTATAAGTGACCATTACACCAGTGAACGTACTGGCTGTGAGCATGGCTCAGCTTCTCATGCCTTATATGAAGTGGACTGTGTCAGGAAGAGCTTCGTAAAAACCTTCTGCACATGATGAGGCCTGTTGGAGACTCTGTCAGGGAGTCCACATACACATCACAAGGATCCTACATGAAGTTGTCTGGGCCTGGATGGAAACACCTGTAGGGCCGATGGTACGTCATGCAGCGAGAGTCGTACTTCAGTTTGTTGGAGGCTCCTCTGTGCAGTGTGTAAGACCACAAAGTCTGCTCATTGTTCTTCCTTTTCTCAAGTTTGTTCTAAAAAGTTTGTGTTAATTTAGTGACAGTCAGATGAACATTTCATCCTCCTGCTACATGACAGGTTAGAGGGGCTATGAACAGGAGAGCAAATCATCAGTGTGCCACTAACGTCCTGTCATATTAATGCTGCAGCAATGGCTATAACTTGCATGAGAATTATTATAGCTACCAGTAGAACATTAAAATGCTGCAGATATCTGTAATTAAATGTGAATGTACATAATATGGCGCTGTTAAACAGATCACTCAGTGCGAGGACATTTTGCACACTCCTTCTGCAACCCAGGAAAACACATCATGTTCATTTGTGTTGAGGAAGTGGTAAACTTTGTTCCAGCATGTTTGTGTGAAGTCATTTGTTGCACACCTGACTTCCTGAGGCAGGCGGTGACGCCGCTTCTCCGGTCGGAGGAGGAGGAGGAGGAGGAAGAGGAGGAGGAGGAGGAGGAGGGCGTGGTCCCTCCCGGTGCTTGATGTTGTCATGCTGTGGTTGAACCTGGTTCTGTCCACATCTTACACTCTTATCACATGTCTCTGGCATCTCTGCAGTAAACAGCAGAAGCAACGATGTTTCACCACGGAGGCTCCAGAGTTCATGTGACAGACATTTCACTGAGTTTGGGCTTGTAGATGGAAACACATCAAAGACCAGCAACTACTTCAACTACAGCTCCTTCAATGATGCATTGAAGAGTTCATTTCCAAAAACAGATCACTCCATCATCACAGCCTTCATAAACCCACGTCTCCACCGTCTACCTGAGACAACATCAAACTTCAGTTCTCTCTGTTGTTGTCAGATCCACTCAGCTTCTGATTGGCTGATATCATCTCAAACAAACAACATAAAATAAAACGTTTTCTGAAAATCTACAAAAATGGAGTTTTCTGTTTTTGCAAATGAACTCTTCAGTTATAAAGGTGTGGATCTGCTAGCATAACTAGCACACTGTCCAGCGTGGCCTTGCAGACCCTTACATGTGCCATGAACTTCAGCATGTGGATGTCCTCACTGCAAGCACACCAAGGGAAGCACCGAGGAGCCTGAGTGAGGAGATCCTCTGTCATCCACAGCTTTATGGTTATACACCAGCCACTCTATCCTGTAAAAACTGACCCGGGTCTCTTTTTGTGTTTTGGTCTGGACTTACTGTAGTATGAACAGAACCACTAATTTGTCCACAGAAAACTTTAAACGTGGACATCAGACATCAGTTGGGAAAACCAATCATTTCTGTGACTGCATTCTCATTCACTCAGATGTAAAAGTCCTGCACGCAAACTGTAAGAGTGTGTTTGCTGCTGAGTGTCAGATTGAAGGAAGCAGATATTTAATGGATGATAACATTCATGTCCGTAATGTGAAAAGTCACAAGTCTCTAAACTGTCCTAACTTTGCAGACTTTATAAATAAATGCTGCTGAGTGCACACTTGCTAACAGCCCATAGCTGTGCATTCGGTAGCGTTTTGCCTCAGGTCTGTTGTAGCAGCTGTAGATGTGAAGGAACACGTAAATGATCTGCACTTATACAGAGTTTTTACCCAAAGCGCCTCACAATGTGTTTCTCATTCACACAATCATACACCAATGAGCTGCCATCAAGGTGCTGCTGGGAGCAGCTTCAGGTTCAGGGTCTTGCCCAAGGACGCTTCGCCTGTGGAGGGGATGGAACCACCAACCTTACGATCAGAGGACAACCCGCTGTAACACCTGAGCCACAGCCGGCCCACACCTGTTCATTTTGTTTTGTTTGTTTAAACAAAGATGAATGAAAAAACGAAGAACCAAATGTAGGACTTGCATCAGAGGCGGTTGGGTGGGCAGCTGGTCCAAAAGAGGTTCTAGTGAGTCCAGTCTGTGGTTGGGTTCAGGCAACCAACACATTTTCTATAAGGCTCATTATTTCTGTATAACTCTGGTTTGTTTCAACCTCATTTATTTCCCATCACTGTGGGTCATGCAAGCTTTGTACTCACCAGAAGATCTGCTGCTTTCTAAGAACCCTCATTACAGCCCAATGAGAGTCAGGCTCAGTCTGACTGGAAGCCACCACAAAGGAGTCACCGGGCACAGCCATTTGACTGCTGTATGAGCGGTACCGTCAGCTGACCTGGACACCGTCACTTTATGTGTGAGGCTGTCAAACTGCAGCCTGTATCCTTCCACTTCCAACCTTCCTACTTGCTGCTGTGGTTTCAATAAATGGCCAACGTGCAGGCCTTCAGGACAGGCTGCTGAGGCACCACATCTGACCCAGAGGTTAAACTGATACTGTGTCAGTGGTTTTATAAATTCAGAGTTCAGCGGGCCAAAATTTAAAACATGAAAATGACAAATCCGAATTAAAGCCATATTCCTACTCACTGTCTGTACACGCACGAAAAGTTTCACTTTCACTTTGACTACAGCAGCCGAACGGTGACAGCTCGCTGCTCACAGCCGCTTACAGCCTTTTCTTTTTTTCACTAAGTTTCAGAATTTTGTCATCAAACCTTTGGGTGAGGATATCCGCGAGTTTAGACGTTGTTTAATGTACAAAAATATTTACCTGCAACTTCTCTGTGTACATACAAGAATGCATCGTCTGCCCTGCAGGCTGTAGCAAGAGATTTATTCACTGATCCGCTTCACCAGGATCTACAGCCAAGACAGCAGGCTGTCATTCAGACTGTGGAGGAGAGGCCCACATCCACCTAAAGGACTAACCTGGCATGATGGAAGCGGGTGTTGCTGGGTAACGGTGCTATTTAAAATGAATGGATGAATATGGACCCATTCACAGGCTGATCACCTGCTGACCCTAACCCTGTCTGTGACGTTACAGTGTTTACAGAGATAAAGGCTGTAAAGATGCCCATGAGACAGTCCAACACGTACCAGAACCTTCAAACTCCGAGGTCTCCAGTAGACTCCAGTAGAGGCCTACTAGTTAGAGGACCTGAGCTTGAGGAAGACACATGTCACTCCTCCACAGGGAGGTTGGACGGAGACGTCTTGTCTTGAAATGATGTCATTGTCACTACATGTGACGTGACGGTCTGATGAACACCTGCGAGTGACCGACAGCACCTGGCCATGAGGAGGAGGCTCGCGTCAAGAGTTTCAGGATTCGTACTTTTAAATGAGCTCCTGTCTTGTTTCAGCGATGTGTTCTCTTAATGAGACTTGTTTATGTGTGTGAGGTTGACACTGTTCATGTTATTTTAGGCAGTGGAACAAGTAGGCCGATCCAGCAGATCAGCTCATTGTTGTTCCTTGTTAAGAATTTTGGGAATTCTGTGTGTTTTAACATTTTTCTGGTTGTGCTATGATTAGCTGCACATATACCACCGTGGAGGTCATCTCCATCCATCCATCCATCCATCGTGAACCGGCGACCTTCTAGCTGCCAGGTCATGGTGCTAACCACCGAGACACCTTCTATTTATTTTTTTCTATGTGTTGTTTTCTCAACACAAAGTTTATGTAAAGTTTTGTTTCTCGGTAGAACATATCGCTAACTTAGGACAAAGCAACAGGTTTGAAGACATACATCACTGCTCCTCGTGTTAACGAAGCGGTACACCTCCCAGGCATCCTGCTGGGCTGAAAGCTGATGTCAGAGTTGTGTGGTGATCTGAAGACAATGCACAGCTTCACAGTTCAGCTTTCACTGCAGGCAGGGAAACATTAAACTCTTCAGTGGTTCAAAACATTCGATGTGAAAAAGTTTCCCGCAGCAGCCTTCTCACAAAGAAGCTGTGGTTTTTCACAGGTGCTCTCACACACACACACACACACACACACACACACACACACACACACACACACACACACACACACACACACTGCATCACCAAAGCAGCGTGAGTGGCAACCTGCTCTACTTGTGTGCAGCAGCAGCACTGTGACATGTCATGTGGTGCTGTGTGGATGCCTGGATGGTGTTTCCAGAACACTTTCCTGTAGAAGAACACCTCACTCTGTGACACTCAGGTTTAGCAGCTGCACGGAGCTTTTAAATGTTTGTAGTCCTCCCTTAGAAAACAAAAATGTGTAGGATCTGTAACTCCTGTTTCACATGACACTGTTTTTGATCTGCGCTGTGTGGAGCGGTGCTGGACACGGCGTGCACGTCAGCATCACGCCGTGCACGTCAGCATCACGCCGTGCACGTCAGCATCACGCTCAGACTGAGGGAGCGCTCTGCTAGACTGTGTTCAGGCTGAAGGGGCTTTGTTGTCTCCTTACAATAAGGCTACAACCTTAAACATGCTGAAAGGTTAGAAAGAGGGTTCCTCTATTCACATGTCTGGTGTTGTGTGACCCATCCATCCACCCTGACCTCCTCCGTCTGTGGATTTGCTCTACAACATCTTATGATGCATTCCTCTGCTCCTGTCATGATCACCTGAACATCAGCAGATGTGGTGCTGGGGAAGTCATCACTAGTGCTCCACACACAGCTGGTGGATGAACAGGATTCACTGAAGAACAGCTCCAGCATGCGACTCCATCTGAAACCACAGACTGATGTTCTCACACTTTGCCATGTGTGCATGGCCAGGAACTGAAACACACCATCAGTGGGTTTCAGCTGTTGAACTGTGGACAGAACCACACTCCTGCTGTTTGTCTTCATGCTAACCGAAGCTAGCCACATTGTGACTTTAGCTCTGCATTGAAAACACAGACATGAAACTGAGATGCATCTGAACATCTCGCTCTCAGAATGAAGTCAAATACCGTCTGTGTCAAAGTGTTGAAGCATCTCCTCATTCTGTTGTTCTGACTCCTTCCATCACTGACAGTGACACGGACACCTTGTTGTGAAATAAGTCAAGAAATATAACGATGAAAGACGTGCACTACTGCTGTACTCACGTTCTCATTTCCCACTTTCTAGTGGCTGATCAGTTTGCATTAGTGAAAGCTGTTTCTACTGAGTGACGGACCTCCTGTGATGTTCAGTTGAACATCCACCGTATAAAAAGACGTAGAACATTTTACTTCTCTGTCTGACATTAAATCAGACCAAACGTTTCCTGTTTCAGGTCAGTCAGGATCACCAACATTATTTATATTTGCTAAACACCAGAATAATGAGAGAATGTTTTATGACTTTCTTCAGAGTCAGAAGTTTCCATCCATCTCCTCAGTATCTGCTAGCGTTGCCTTTAAACTCTATGACTT